AAACTCTCACATGTACTATTCCACATCCAATTTATTATAACCTCACCCCTTCCAACTAAAAACGTCATCCACCACCTTTGGCTATACCGACACAAGCGACTAGCTTGGAATACCCAGACATTATTGAAAATGGCAAAACTGAACTGACCAAAAAGAGTTTAGAAAAATTAGACAGATTCTCTCCCTCGATAACAACAAACTCATACACAACGCAAAACACTAAAACCCATAAAAAATATGGCATGTAACTATGGAATTCAACTAAACCTTCCTTTCTCCGTAGAATCCACAATCCCCAATCATGAATCCTTAGATCGATTAGATCCCCATTCTATGTTTCCAAGCGCAACATCCATAACGACCTAAATGTTCCCTTTATAACTGAAGTTGTAAAATCCAGCTGCAAAAAATACCAAAGTATCCGACAATCCCCCTCTAATCACCAAGTACAACAACTTTACTAACTCCCTGCTCTGAGAGAGTAGAGTAATTAAGTAACGATTTATGATTTAGCAGTTCTACCACAGGATAGCTTCTTCACTTGATGTTTTTATTACAGTCTTATATTTTTATAAAATTAACATACAAACTATCGGTTTGAGATGTCAAACGAGTAAACGATTAAAAATTAAAAATACAATGAAACCTCCTCGTTTAAAAACATAGAAATTAATTTAAAAAATTAATCCCTCACATTTCGTGATCCGATTGAACAAGTAACTTCTTTTAATTAATTAATCTCTAATTAAGGTATTGGTTGAAATAAAAAAGCTAATGTCACGAGCGGGATTCGAACCCACGACCTACGGGTAAATACGCCGCTGCTCTACCACTTCAGACACGATTCTGTTTTAATTCAGAAATATAATAACTATATGACCTTAAATTTTGTAACATGCGAATCACGATGTTCTACTGTAACAGGAAGTTCTAGCTGTTTTGATTTGTTTGATTTTATTACTCGTTTTTATCGTTTATTTCTAGTTATACAGAGCTGACTCATCCACCAACTTTAAAAAGGAGGCAGAAAATTGAAGTAAGCGGGCCTTTGGGTATTTAAACGGTATCCCGCTGGAATTGAATTTTCCCTAACATCTTTCCGTCTGAATGCTAAGCTTTGCAAACGGCGTCATGTCGAGCGGGAGCAAAAATCTCTCTCCAAAAAAGTTTATTTTCCCCATTCTACAATGGAACCTCAGGCTGAGTTGATCTCTGTTTTCACACCACAGTCATGCACAGTTAGTACCGTTTCAGGATGTTTAAATTGTTGTACGTGGTGTATCCATTTTAAAATAAATAACTAGTTATTGTTAACTAGGTTTTAAAATTTAAAAAATAATATGAAATCGTTCTTTGAATATGGTTGTCTGAACGGGCATAGAAAAACGTGGAGGTGTAAACGTTAATTACATCAATGATTTTGAATATCTTCAAACTGTCAGAGATTTTTTCAATAGTATTTTTACAATTATTTATTGCATATGTGCATTTTAAACTTATATCTTCATGTCTATACATTTATGAATAAATGGAATACGATATTTACCAACGTGTTTCTGTGTCTATAAAGCTGAAATACATTCTATGAATGTTTTTACCGTAGAAAATTTTAAAACGTTCACACTGGCAAAGCGAAACTTCACGATATCGTACAGCCAAACAGCCATAAAACAAAACAACCTGACAATATCTTAGGGCCTGGATACAACGGAATTCCGGTTAATGAAAAACCAGATAACATGAAAAAAAATAAATTCCCCAAGACAAATTGTAAGTTAAAACCTAGAATCTATACTTGGGATAATAAGGTCAAACGTTGACACCACCCTGTAAGAACGGGTCCACAAAACCCACTCTCGATGTTTCAGATGTCAAATTAACTATTATTTGTTTCTAAGGAAGAGATGGACCCAACCTAAATTTTGTCTAAGTCCCAGAAGAAATCCCTCGGTTGGTCTGACTATAAATTCTTAAAATTCGTCAGATATCTTTTTTTATTGATTTTATTTTTTAAACACTAAATATTTTCTTTATATGTTATAATTGATAAAATTGTAAAATGGTGGAATATAAAAGAAATTAAATTTTTTATATCTTTAGGAAATTATTTTAACGGTTTAAAATATTACAAAATAAAAGAAATTTTAACATGACGAAAAACAAAATGAAATAAAATGTAAAAAATAGCAACTTAACCAAATGATTTTGACTTTTTTCTATCTTAAGAATAATGTGAAATTAAAAATTAATGACAATTCAGTCACGATAGCTCAAGTGGTTAGAACAGCGGCGTATTTAGCCGAATGTCATGGGTTCGATTCCCGCTCGTTACAGTAATTTTTCATCTGAACCAAAAACCTTAGAAGAAAAGAAATAATTAATTGGAATAAACAAAGCAACATTAAGAGCATTGTCCCACACATTGTGCCTTGGTAAAAACATGATTAAAAGACATTCACAAAAAGTGGTAAATAAATTGCTATATTTCGAAATGGTAAAATTCAGCGTAGTATTAAGGTCGGTTACTAGCATATGAAAAATCACCTACATGGGAATAATTAACTATGTGTTGTCGAACCTTGTTTTTAGACTATAAAGTAAGGAGGAATACACTGCTATTTATATTACCTTTAAATGTGAAGCAACCGCTCAATAGAGACATAATTTAGGATATCGATTTAACCGGAGAATAATAATAATAATTCCAGTAATGACCTACTACATCTTAAGAGAACTGACATAAGGAAGTAGAAAAAGTAGAAAGCCAGAAAGTTTCAGTGCTTGGGAGTACAAACCACGCTTCCTACTATTCCATTATCATCATCATCAAAAAGTTTGTGTCGAGCAACACTTACCTCAAGCTAGTGAGGTTACATGCTTTTATATGCTTAACAAAATCCCCAGGTTTTATGGCCCAATTATCGAACATTCATTGCAACCCTGTGCTCGTCCAAATTGTGCAGTTATTAGAGCCATTCACTAAAATTATTTATTTCAGCACCAGCAACATTTTTGTCGCAATGATCAGTTCCGATATGTGCGTATATATCAGGGGAAGTTCGTCTTAACCTCACAAACCGTAGACCTCGAGATCCGTAGCCTGAAAGTTTATTCACACTCTCCTTTTCATACAAGAAATAATTATGACACACACCACAAACATACATTTCTCTGTGAAATGTTTAAATCTTGCATGTGAGACTCCAGAAGGACAGACAATGTCAAGAGCATCGGCCGACCACCTTCTTGAACAGGAGAGGTTTATTAGCCGCTTGCCGACGGGTCTGGATTTAGAGAAGAGAAAAAAATAAGCGAATAGTTGCTTTGCCCTTTTTCAAGTTATTGCTAAGAAAAGGAAGAAATATTAGCTTAAAGTTTATTATCACACAACTTATTTGATCAGACGGTACAAAAAACAATTACTTGGTGAGATAGGCTTATAATGCCGATCTGGTCTCGATGAAAACTCAAATCCGAATGACAGTGGAGAGGCAACACGAAGTACAACAAACGTTACAAAAAAATAACAGAATTATAACCAATAATGTCCGCATTCGAAAGTGTCTATCGTTTATGTCTTCACAACTCTGCGAAAACAGATACACATAAAGCTCGCTAAAGTTCAACGATTTGAAAACATTGAATAAAATGTTTAAAGTTCAACGTAGGACTGGTTAAAAGCAAACCGAAATCAACATTTCATCCATAATTCAACGAGTTACCGTTGTAGGAAAATTCCAAAAATATTGAATTTCACTGTAATATAAGCGGCGGGTAAAAATAGAAAACGTTATGATAAAAACAAACAAAACAACCCTAACCAAATTAGTCCTTGGTAAACAATGTAAATCATTTTTGCCTTTAAATTTCACTCGTAATTGTAGAAAAAAATTAGTAATGTAGTGCGTATTTTTATTTCCGATTTGATTCCAGCCTCCAGATTAATTTTATCTTAACATTCACCTAACTTTATCGCTTCTTTGGGATTTGGTTTTAAAAAATGAAACCAGGTAAAATTAATTTTTAACCGGGGTGGCTAAGACGGTTGAGTAGCTATGAATCATTCAAGGCTAGTTTTGCAATATTCCACGGCGAACAGTTGATAAGTGGGCTCCCTGTCTCAGTCTCTTTTCAAACTTCACAAAGGAACATTAGAAATTGCCAAAGTTTCCCAAGGCGACATTTATTTACAAACTTTATCCTCTCGGCTTGTACTCTTCAACGTTTGCTTGGCATATTTTACCTGCCGCCCCTCTGCTGAGCCGCCGACATTGTGGATCACCCCCCCGCGACCGCATTCTGTCCTTTGCACCCATCCAAAACTTCCTGCTAATTAAAATGTGAACTTTCCAATAAATCCTGGGGCAAACTTCTGAAATATGGTCTAATTTTTTATTAGGCGAATCGTGCATGGCCGTTAATCTTTGTTTTCATAACTAGAATTTAATAAACATTTTTTTACATCGCATAGCTCCATCCAGGCGCAGGGGTGAAAACGGAAAAATTTCGCCAATATTATTACAGCCAAACTTTGATCCAACGGATGAACTAAAGAAACAATTTGAGTAAAAAACACTTTGCTCAAAGAACAATTAAATTATAAGTTTAGAGCTAGTCAATTTTTGATAGATAATTTGTATGATTAATTTTTCTAATTATCAGTCAGCATCTATGGCCATTACCATAGATATTAGTTCTTAGAATTATTCCCTACATAACCTGTTATCATATTTTATACAAGAAGGTTTTTGTCCTTCGTGTTATCTTTTCTTCATGAAATTACCATAATCAGGTTGAAGTCCTCTGGACGGCGATTGATTTATAAAATCCACATTTACCTAAGACATTTCACGATTAAAATGTTGTTGGAGTACTAAAATAGATTTTTAAAAAATAAAATCACTTTTATCAGTTTTTACATGCTTCAATAAAAATTTATTAACTTTTGATTTATAAACTATTAATTGTTCTTTTTTATACTGAGTTCTAACCCTCTTTTGTTATCTCAATCAATTTATATTTCTGTTACAATACAATTCAACGCATTTCCTCTCAGGTGTTTATTTAAAGTCATCAACTTGCGACATCGTTCGGCTACGGGGTTCATATATCCCAAATATCGGCAAAAGACTAACGACTTACTTTTGTCGTTACAAATCCGGCAAATTCTATTTCTTTGATAATAGAACTTAAAGGCCACGTCGCCTGAGAAGCTGTTGCAAGTTAAAACCACGACTGAACTATGGCCCTCTAAGAGTCTGAAACGAAAGGAAAATAACATGTAAACATGATTGAAGATCAGCCATAGCCGTATGATGCACAAACACCTACTTTTGAATCAAAATCATCATCATGATTGTCACGCGTGCAGGTGCCTGATTTATAGAGAAATGATGCTCAAAACCGTCGAAAACTGCCATGCCTTTGCCCGTTATAGGGAGCGAGTAGGCATGACCACGGAGATAAAGATGGTACTCGAGCGGGAAAGTCAATTGTTCAAATCTTGCCTGCTGAGCGAGAGGGATACATCCGTCTTCATTTGGTGTGGCTTTGCATCTCTTACCATGTCTCCCATATGTTGATATTGTCCAGTGCTTCATTTTTTCTTTCTAAACTATGTTTTATTATAAGTTATGATAATTCAACAGGACAATAATTCAGTTTTCACGTTGGTGTTAACATGTGTAAATTCTTTTTACAGTGATAAATGATATTTTGTATTGTAAAAATCCTAAATCATGTTATAAATATTTTTTAGTTTAAAGTACATATCTAATGTGTGGTGATTAGTGGGCACTCTCGACACGACACGCAAGAATGGCACAATTACACAGAAGACGAACACATTGAGTTAGTAAAAATACTTGGATAGAATATAAAAAAATATAATTTGCATTGTATAAATTCAATTTTTTCCACAGCCTAAATGTATTTGTCAAATGTAAACAATGTTTGTAAATCCCAGGCCCTGAATATGATCTCAATAAAGATCGAAACGTTGACTAAAGAAAATTTTTTTCTGAAACCTACATCACACCAGATCGCATCTCACGATCTCCAAATAAACATATCATTTATATTTATTAATTCCAAATATAAAAATAAAAACTGGTTGCATTGTCAGTTGCTTTCAGACTGATTGAAGTATGTCGGGTTGATGTGCAATGCCTGTATTTTTATTAAGAAAGAAATGTACTGAAAACAGAAGCGGTCGAGTTAACGATTGACATTACTTTTATCAAACCGTTTCCTACTATATAAATTATATGTATTTTTTATATCTCGTCCCGCCGAAACGCCGGAAACAAGTATCGAACGGGAAAGAGGGACGTTATCCATTTCCAGTGATTACCCCGCCTCTCTTTCTATCAATCGGTCCTTCCTTATCCGACAAAATTGTTTCCAATACCGGGCTCCCTGGGCAACTTGTAATCTCTGTAATGCGCTTTTTCTCCTGAAGCCTTTCGATCCTACATACAGTTTCCAACGAAAAACAATTATCATTGTTGAACTTTTGAGACAGCTCAATAAAAATAAAAAATAAATGATGGGGGGAAGTTATTCATTTATTTCTATCTTGTAAATCCCAAAAATTAAGACATGCCTAGCAGTATTGAAAAGTCTAAGCTAAAGAAAAATATGTCCAAATGAACAAATAAATGTTTCAAACGATAAATCAACTCTAAGTATGAATGTACTGTGAAAGATTAAATATAAATTTACCACGATAACTGGCTTATTTGAAATTTTTTTGATAATTTGGCATTTTCTACATGATTCGTAATATCATTTGGTGTATATTTCAACTTCGCAAGCTTCCGACCCAAGCTTTAAAGTCATCATCACGGCCTATATTTTAAAATTAATGAACAACAATTAACAATTATTTTATAAACACAAACAAATACCAATTTTTGGCCCAGGTAACTACTCACGATTTTTTTTATTCCTATTCTTGGGGCATGGCAACGAGCACAGATCGCTGCTCTGGTACGTCAGGGCTAAAGGGATTTTTAAATGTATATAGTTTTGTTATGTGTGTTAGTATTGTGTCTTTGTTTGACTTTATGTTAGTTTATTTGAATAAATGTAATTTTTTAGCATGAAAGGAAGAGGTGATTTAAGCCCGCCCCGAGGAATATCGAGTTCTCTGTGGTGAGTGTGTGACGTCTGGAGAGTAAAGGAAGTTATTAGCGGGAGGGGACAGGGTTCAACCCTGCCCCGAGGAATATCGAGAACTCTGGGGGAGTGAAAGTAACCAGACGTCTATTTTTCTATCGATTGTTGTTTTTGTTAATTCATTGTAATGAATGTAATTTATTAGCGTGAAAAAAACGTTACTTATAACCCCCTCCGAGGAATATCTAGTACTCTGGGGTGAATGTATGACCTCTGGAGAGTAAAAGTAATTTATTATCATGCTCTGAGGGAGTGAATGTGACCAGACATCTATGTTTGTGGTGATGTATATATATATATATATATATATATGTGTGTGTGTGTGTGTGTGTGTGTGTGTGTGTGTGTGTGTGTGTGTGTGTGTGTTGTATGTTTTGTTTCTATTCTGTATTTGACAACCTGAAGTACAAACGAGAGGCTAGCATTCTAGGATATCAACGTAGTATATATTTGAAATCAGAGAGACATTAACCAGATCGAGACGCTCAAATGACTGTAGTTTAAAAGAAAATATGCGCGAAAGAAGAGAAAAAGAAGGAAAACACGCAGAGGGCCGGCGATGACCTCAGCTGTTTGTAGTCCTATAGACTTCCCACTTTATTACTTAAAATTTGTAGTAAAGTGAGATTTCAAGAAAAACAAAAATAGTAATTCTTATTAACTTATACACAACAGAAATTGCTTACCAAAGAATTACCTCAGCTATTAGATTGAGAAGAACACGTGATAACATAATCACGACTGTGACGCCCTCTCCCTTAGAAATTGTAACAAATCCAAATAAGCTGGTTACGGGTGGTTAGGGACGGTTAGGGTATTATGAATTGTTTGCGTAAGATTCGTGTTTGGCACTCCTCGGGGGTCTTGAGTGTTGGGTTGTATTCCCAACTTTCCTGACTCTACCCCTCCTTCCGTGCATAGTATTTCCTTGGCTGCTTTTTTTTTTGGGTCCATCCTCACTTGTCTTCATTACATCACCCAATCCATCCAATTCAATCCTCACATTACACTCGTAACACCCGCTCATCCCCAATTGACCTTATCCTTCCGCAACATACAACCCACACCTGCAAAATTTCCATTCTGATCTGAGGCCCTTAAAACTCTGGAACTCCCTTCCCCATTCTATTAATCACGCTGCCTCCTTTTCCTCCTTTAAATCCCACCTGTATAATCACCTTCTCTTCTTCCAAACAAAAACCTTACGTTAATATTTGATATTTTTCTTTAATATTCTTGTTAGTTTTTCTTATGGCTTGCCTTACTTGTATACATTGTACCTAGATTTTTATTTCATTTTATTTTTAATTTTATAGAAGGAACTTTATTTATTTCATGTATATTATTTATACGGGACAACAGTCCCAGGATAATGTTATTTTTATTGTTCCTAAGCTGGACTGATTTTTGAAATTGGGTTGTCTCAACACCTGGCGCAATTTTGATTTTGAAAACATCGGCATTATTGTTGCATAAAGAATCTTCAGAATATGGAGATGGTACATTAACGTGGAGGAGAACTCGTGTAACATGCAGAATGATTTTCAAAAATCAGTCCAGCTTATTCGGGTTTGTTACAATTTTTAAGGGAAATGATATCGCAGGTGTGATTATTTTATCATGTCTCCTTCATAATCTTATAGCTGAGGTAATTATTTGGTTAGAGGTTTCGATTGTATATAAGTTATTAAGAGTTACCATTCCTGTTTTTCTTGAAATGTCACTTTACTACAAATTAAAAAAACCCAATATAGTAAATAGTTACCTGTACCAGAAATAGGTATTTGTTTGTGCTTATAAAAGAACTGTTGATTGTTGTTAATTTGTTTGAAAATACAGGCCTTGATGATCACTTCGATGCCCGGGTCGAAAGCTTGGCCAAGTTAGAATTTTGTTTTTAATCTACTCCTTGACCATAATGCTGATCATACATCAAATTAAAGAGTATTTGATACCTTCTCTTCAATAACGTAATCTGCTGTACATTTGTAAAGTTTAAAGTCACAAAGTAAGTTTTAAGATAAAATTAAGATTTTTAATAATAACTTAACTTTAAATAATAATTTTAAATAAATCGACATCTTCCTCAAGATTTAATAAGTAATAAATTATTTATTTTTTACATTGATTACGTAATGATTTATATTTTTTACAGAAAAAGTTTTTTTTTCCAAATATTAGGTCGAAAGGTCAACCTTAAAATTTAATGATTTTATTTTTTAGGTTAATATTTTGTGAATTTAATTTTTAATGATTAATAATCTTTATAAATATTTAGTTAATATATTTTTTTGTTTATGCGTGAACCTAAGAACTATTCAATTCCCACAAAGTCAAAGTACATAAAGGACCATTTATTATTACGAAAGCATAAACCATATTTCTTTTGACGCCAATATATCAACCAACAAAAATACCAAATAAATATACGTATTCCCTGTTTTTAAAAAAAAACTTTAAAAAAATAACAAAAGCAAAATAGAAAAATAAAAATAAATAATTGCCCAATTCCTTTGTAAAAAATAATATTTTCCATCCAGACAAAGTACCGGAATGTGGGAGCCCTAAAGCTGTTATAACTTACAGAAACATGTTCCTACGTTCATTCTCACAGATAACCATCAGGCGGGTTGCCACATGTTTTATTCCATTCATTATGTGACCTTTAGATATTACAATGAAAAATATAGGAATATATGATAAGTACGTTTTGATTAAAAGGGTGAGGGTTTTGCTTGCAAAACTAGCATAAAAATAATGAAAATAAATAAAATTATAGTTCTTCACTTCAATTGTACGAGTATACCAATTTTTATTACACGATCAAATATAGTTTGTTCACTTCAACTCTTTCAAATAAAAATAATAAGAAGGGTTTGAAAGAATAAAACTTTGAAAATAATTGAGCTGTTTTGTTATGAAACACAGATTGAGTTCAAATCGAACATGAGTCAAAGACCTAAATGTTTACCTAGAGAAACCTCGAGGACCCTACCATCAATTTACCATGCTGAAATCCAATCGATAGAACACTGCACAGCAAATATATAAAAAAAGAGTTGCCTAAATGATGCAGACGTATATATATGAAATATCGTCCCATTTTCCTGATCGTGAGACTGTAGACGAATAATGAAGAGTGAAGATACAATACTTTAAAATCGATCCACTCTTAGGGGAGTAAGCAGTATAAGGATAATATTTTATATTGTACCACTATTTTTATAAATCAATTAACATTATACAGTATATAACGTTGCGGGAATGTATTTATAACGTTGAAGGATTAATATGCATATAATGAAAAATTAAAAAAGTGAATAGCCTTAACATAAAAAAAGTAACTTATTTTAAAAACAAATAATAGAATCAATGAAAAATGACAAAAAGGAGGGAAACTCATAAGGTGGGGTTGAGATGGGAAGTTGATGTCCGAGTGGATCGAGGTCACGATAGCTCAAGTGGTAGAGCAGGAG